ACAGGAAAGCTGTTTCCTCCAGGGATCCCATCACACAAGCTACCAGGACACTTGTGCTCGAGCGTGGAGGTTCCTGGTAAGACTCAGCAGGCATGTTGCACCTCGGAGAAGGGACAGCTTGAAGCAGGAGCCCAGCCTCGATCTCTGCCTGCGCACAGCAGGAAGCAGGAGTCTCAGTCCAGAGCCCCTCGGCCCTGCAAGGTGGCATCACTGTCCGTCCCACTGCTGGCTCAGGGTGTCCATCTCCGTGCAGGCCAGGTAGCGGTCGTAGTTCTCCTCGCACCTCCTCACGCAGCGCAGGAAATAGTCCTCGTCAGCGATGGCCTCCAGCAGGTCGGTCTGCACCAGGCAAACGTCGTACAGCTCCGAGGTGGGAGCGCGCCTGGGGCTGCTGCTGCCCCGCTCCAAGAACACCTGCGGGGAGAGTGCAGCGCACAGAAGGACTCACACCCTCTGTGGGCAGCAGTGCCAGGGCCGTGTCCAGCATGAGCGCAGAGCCTGGCAGCAGAGAGCAGAGCTCTCCTCCTTGGCCTTGCGCCTTCACGCTGGCTGTGGGTCTCCTGCAAAGCAGAAAAGCAGCAGAGGCTCCCAGCTCCAATCCAGCAGTAGAAAGTGAAGTTTCTCCAGATTTCCTCTCCCTCCCACAAGGCCCCTTTGGCTCCGAACCAGCTTGTCACACACATGGCTGGGGCTCCCCTAAGGAATAGGCCACACCACACAGCTGGAAGAAAACAGCTCTGCGGAGCAGCTGACCCCCAGAAAACCTCTGCCAGCCTCAGGACTGCCACAGCCTGTCGCACAGGAAGGAGCGAGGACTTCACCTTCTGATCTTAACCACAGCTCTGCCTAAGGCCACCCGGCAATCTGCTCCCCTCCAGCACTGTTCTGTCACCCCTGACACAGGGACGGCCCTGCAGACCCAGTGACACAAGAGGAGGGGAAGCTGGTGTCCAACCTACTGATCCTGGCTGCAGGACAGCAAAATCCCAGCAGCGGGCATGAGCTCTGCTGGTGAGATGCTCAGCTGCTGCCCAGACCCCAGCGAGGTCTGCTGCCACCATGACTTTGATCCTACCTGTCTGGTCTGGCATGGGGGAAGCCCTGGGGCTGGCTGCACAGCTGCTGCGAGACAAGCTGAGCAGCCCAACTGACCAGCCATGCCGGCTACAGACAGCAAAAGGAAGAACTCCTTGATCGGGGAAACAGCTCGAGGCTGGCATGCAGCGAGCGGAGCTGCGTGAGCCGCGCTTCAGCTGCTGCAGCAGCTGCTGCGCGCAGGGGCCTCAGGCTCTCAGCAGAGCCATCCATGTTAATTCACCCAAACCAGGCATGGCACAGTCCAAAGCCTATTCCCGACAGGTCTGCTCCAACAACTCCTGCCACCAGCTACAAACCCATGAACTGAGGGAGCAACCCAGCCCTCGGCACTCCCCAGCTGCCCGGTAAATGCTGCCGACCATTCCCGGGCTGCCGCAGGTTTCCTCCCCTGTGCTGTCTCCTCCCGGATGGAAACAGGCAGGGGTTCAGGCTCGCCAATGGATCTGTGGCTCTTGTTCGAGCAGCGACAGTTGTCCAACTGCCAGGCACATTTCTGTCTGCATAAACGTTCCCTTTTCCAAGTGCCCTCCACCACAAACACTGCCCTTTCAGCTGAGTGCCACAGACAGCCGTGGCCGTGCCCTGAGGCTGGCTGGCCTGGCCCGCTGCCCGGAGCGGGGCTGACTTGCCCCAGCAGAGCAGAGGCACTCGGCAGCCAGGACCTGCTCTTCCCTGCTGATGGCCCATCTCACCCTGCAGATTGCTGCCGCTGATGCCGGTGGTGTGGGGTGCAGTGATACTGGGGCTACACCTTGACCCCCCTTTGCAGGCTCAGGATCACAAAAAGGGGACAAACTGTGCCTGACCTCACTGGGGACACCCCACCAGCGCAGGCAGCTGGCACTTTAGAGGCCTTCAGCCGCCTACCTGGGGATGAACAATGGTGTCTGCATCATCCAGCCGGATGTTGTCATCGATGAAGATGTGGTGAACGCCGGGATCGTGGGGGTCAATCCACAGGGGCTTCCCACCCCGGGAAGAGAACTGATTTCTGGCCCACCTGAAACAGCAAGCGGGACAAGGAGCAGTCAGGGGAGGGAGAGGGTGACAGCTCTCAGGTAAAGGTGCGGGCTCAGGGCAACCCTGTGAGCCAGGGAAGTGGGACGGAGACTGTCCTGCCCCTCTGCCCGCTGCTGCTTTCCGGGAAGGAGAAGCATTTTGCAGTGAGGTGACAAATCAGGGTGTTTGGAGAAAAGCAGGAGGTACACCAGGGGACGGGGACCTGAGGAAAGATGCAAGAGCCCCATCAAGCTGCCCACAGGCAAAAGAGGGAGCATGTAAGTAACAAAGACCTCAAAACTGGGAGCTATCCCAGACCAGGAGAAGCTTGGAGAATCACGGGAGAGGAAAAAATGCCCAATCCACTTCCTCAGTGCCCTGTTTCTCACCAGTCAAAGTGGTCTTGGAAGCCTCCAATTCCCTCAAAGGAGCTGAAGTAGTCGTAAAGCTTTCTTCCATCTTCCCGGGTGGCCAGTCGCTCTGCTCCCCTTGTCAGCACCACCTCTCGCTTGCTGCAGCGTATTTGGCCAGGGGTGAGATCCACAGGGAGCTGCAGGACCACAGAAAGCAGGAGCGGAAAGGTTTCCAAAGCAAACAGATTGTTTCATGCATTGGTAGAGACAAGCAGCGGAGCGGGGACTCCCTGCCACCACAGCATGGGAGGGCAGTGCTGGGGAGAAGACAAGAGGAGGCATGGAACCCTCCCAATTGAAAATCATCCCCTCCCCTGGGATGGCAAGGAATGACCCCCTAGCTGCACGCTGCCCCCGTTTCAAGCTCTATTCTCCATCAACACTGAGGAACAACTGAAGTGGCTTCGGAAGCTCGTTCCCAGTGTTCCTGCCCGGTGTGCTGACGGCGGGAGAGCACGGCTGCCATCGCCTCGGAGCCAGGGAGCAGCCTCTCTCTAGGAGGAGGGATGCTCTGTCCGACTCGGGACGCTCCAAGAGAAGACCTTTCCCATGCATGCACATGTGCTCCGCCAGCTAACAGCTTATCCCTGAGAAGCTGCCTGTATTTCCTCTCCACAGAAGCCGGAGCTTTTAAAGGCGAGATGGCCAAGTGGCTCAAGGGCTGCCTGACACGGGGAGCTCCATGCAGGCCACATGGCTGCCCTCCTCCAGCCCACCGGGTGCCACTCACCTCCACATCCCGCAGGGCAGGGAACTGGGGGTGCTGCCCGGCCAGGGCACAGCTGACTGCCCGGAGGGCACGGGGCAGGTCTGTGCCGAAGGTCCGGAAGACGACGGCGAACGCCCTCCGCTCCCGGTGCAGGGTGTCCAGGAGGCGGAAGAAGGCCGGCAGGATCAGGTGGTA